GAGACAAAGTTCAACATTGCGATGCACTTTAACATAACAAGATATATGTACCTTTGAAAGTCATAAGATGTATTCGGATAACGCAAAACACATTGCGATACACTGTAAACATACATTTTTACATTTCTTACGCGACACAGTTTATGTATTTTAGTGATATATTTGTAACCTGTGAAAGAAACCCTGTAAAATCAGATAATAAAGTGCAAACGACACAGCACTCAATATGCAAGATACATAGAGATTACTACACGAGTGTCTGTCAGATACCAATGATCTTACAACGAGTTGTTTCAAAACACATCTAACGAGCGAAAGCGAGTTAGATAAGCTTTGTAACAACGAGTTGTAAGATCAATGGTATCTGACAGGCACGAGTGAAGTAATCTGTTTCTTACACACCCTAAAATCGCACCTTTTTAGCATCGAATCTATTCTGATGATCGCAGTAACATAAGTGACGTCATCCTGTGTACTGCTTACTACTCATAAATAATGTGACCCTACACAAAAAGGTTTCCGCCATATCTGAGGATTATCAAGGCGATGATGATAATGCAAACTAGACAAAAACAAGGAATACGCTGGATGCCGAGTTAAAAGTTTACATTTCTAAGAAATTACCAAATATGTACAACAATGTTTACATGTACTTCCGTATGACATCACTAGAGGTGACCAACTTTTACAAAATGGCGTGTTCAATGACAATAATACGCGGGATTTCCAGAGGAGGATTTTTGTTGATTTGAGATCGTATATACATAAACGTGTCACGTAAGTAATCAGAAACATTCTGACAATCTGCGTACTGTTATTTGTTTACCATGTTTTTCAATGTAACAAAGAGAATAAGTCAGAAATTCAGTTAACTACCGTCATCGTTGTGCGTGATTTAGCGTCAGTCTTGGCGTCACACAGGACGGAAACTTTTACGGTTTCTGTTGAATTTACCACATCATTGTAATGTATATATTTGAAATTCAATAAAGACAACGATACTCTTCCCATGAATATTCTCAAACGCGTGATCGAGCCAATGTATGCAACAATTAGACAAAAGTACATCTAAAAATGCTACACAGTGTAAAATCTGAATTTTACTTTGATTACATTTCAACAAGTACAGTTTTCGAAGCACAGTGTTCGTTTCCACACCTAATTTATTTCGCATGATTTCATCTAGATAATTTGCATTGTCGACAAAGACCATTTGTCATTTTTTTCTTAAATGTATGAGGAATTCAGGGATGCATGTATAGCAGCTGAATTTGAAATATACCTGTTCGAATAGGCGTCTCATAACCGGCATTTTGTAAATACAATGCCTAAAATGACAGCAAATGATAAACAGAAGGGGGGATTCAAAACTGTGAAGTGTATTAGTTCTAGTGATGTATTTTGAATTTTATTCGACAGATGTGTCGCTGTGGCATCCAGGGGGTTTACACTCGATAAAGATAACGTTGATAATAACAATGTAACTGATAATAATAACAAACAAACTCGCAGACGAAGACGAGTTTGTTTATTATTATTATTATTATTAATTACACGGTCCTGTGGTTCAACACAGACGTAGGTGAACATTCGACTGAAGCATGAGCAACTTATCAATGACTTACAATCAGAAAAGTAGTCTGTCACCATCTGACCTCATGTCATCACCATGGAGTAGCCAATCACGGGCCTAGAGTTCGACCTCACACATATGTTTGAAACCAGTTATCTCACCCACACCTGTGTAAGAAATAGTTGTCTCTGTAGTTGTATCTGCATTGTTTGCCTAACTGGACGGGGACACGGACAGTCCTTTAACAGTGTCGCTTCGTCCGACCTACCACCCGCCATCACGTTTAAGTTTCAGGTGAGGTGATGAGATGAAATGGGGTTTAACGTCGCGTCTAAGATTATTGCACTTATATAGCGACGTGTTTGTGTTGTGTGTGTTTGAAATGTTTTGAAAGCTTCACTGGGAGTTTGAACAACTTCTGAGCAAGAGTCAAATGTAAAGGAGCATACTCGATTGTACCTCAAAAGTGAAATATAGACATCAAAGGCTGGATGAGCTGGTGAATTGCTCGACTTAAAGGGAAAGTTGAGTTTTGAAAAGTGGTAACCATCCTTCTTTTCACACAGTCTTGTTGCGAGTGTTTACCACTCTGATCTTTATGAGGTAGGGAGGTGAAATGGGGTTTGACGTCGCGTCCAAGAATATAGCGACGTGCATGCACGTGTATCTATGTGTGTGGCTGCTTGTACTAGTCCGGACTGATGCCGATTTATAGTGCTAGCTCACTGAGATACCATGCCGCAGTTTAACATGAATACCCCAATCAGACACAGTATACTGGCTCAGAGCCGACCAGTCCTTGTTTCAGCCCCTTAATGCCGAGCTCCAGACAGGGTAACAACAAGTGCCATCTTTAAGTTTTGCAACTTGGGCATTTGTGTTAACACAAACCATGTCAACTTGTGGCAGGTCTGACACTAGTCATAACATCAGGTTGACACGTGTCATAACAAGTTCCAGACACAACAATAAGTTAGATGTGATGGCTTCATTCACCTTAGGGTGGTCACAATCATGGATTCTCTCAAACATGAACAACGCGCTGTAATAAGGTTCCTTACCAAGGAGGGATGCAAAGTAAAAGAAATCCATGATCGCATGTGTAAAGTGATGGGTAAGGATGCTCCAGACTATTCCACAGTTTACCGTTGGTCTCTACAGTTTAAAAGGGGCAGGGAGTCCAAAGACGATGATCCAAGGTCAGGCAGGCCTTCAGATGCCACCCAACCGGAAACCATTACTGCTATAGAAAGAAGAATTGGTTTGACCGACGAGTGGAAGTATCTGAACTATCTAGGGAATTCCAAATATCAGTTGGTATGTCCAAGGTATCTGCAAGATGGGTACCTAGAAACCTCAGAGCTCCAGATCGCCATCAGAGAACTGAAAGTTGTCGAGACCTCCTGGATCTTTATACTGCTGATGAAGCCGGATTTCTTTCTCGTCTAGTGACGGGTGATGAAACATGGATGCACCACTGGGACCCAAAAATTAAATTGAAATCCATGGAATGGAAGCACCCCAATTCTCCGCCTCCGAGGAAGTTTCGCACTCAACTATCGGCTGGCAAGGAAATCGCCACCATATTTTGGGATGCAAGAGGAATATTACTGATTGATTACATGCCACAAAAAACTACAATCAATGGACAGTATTATGCTAATGTAATGAATGAATTGCGAAAATCTATTCACCAGAAACGCCGTGGGATGTTAACACGTGGTATTCTACTTTTGCATGACAACGCTCCGGTTCATAAGTCGAGAATTGCACAGGACTGATTATTCTCTAGCGTTGACGTTTTATGTTTAAAGTAGTTATTGATTTCCACGGTGTGTTGTTCAGACAGTTTACAAGAGGATTATAATCGATGCTCACACCGAAATCAGCTCACTTCACTCAGGCGGACCCAACCAGACAAGACATTGGTACAGATTAACGTATGTATGACGTTTCCTCAATGTGTTATAATATGTTGTGTTATTGCTATATTTTATCATATTTGAATATACACTGGCTACCTATTCAGAAACTTTGACCCAGTTTGGTAAGAAGTAAAAATTCAGTGAATATAAGTGTATTACTGTGTGCGTCCTACATCGATGACGTTAAGGTATTGAGAGGAGGATGCATTTGGAATTTGAATCAATCTCCAGTCTTTTTATCATTTTGAGAACATGCATTCATGAATATCTTGGTAATGTGCTAACGAGTTAACATAATTCAATGTTATGTTTTCGCTGAATTTTTACAATGGTCGCAGTGATTTTTTAATACTGCAGTGGGATACTTTGCATTTATGTTGAATTGTTGCAGATTATATATTTTAACATCATTGGTTCCATCTCAACGGATCCGACAAATTCCCGTTGTATATACTGCAAGAATGTAAATGGGGCTGTGTGAAATGGCAACATATCGTTTAGACTATTCCGAGCCGATTGGGCAGTTATGGGCAGTTATAATGCATGATCATTAGTTTCACCCCTGCTGTCAGGTTGCAACTGCAGTTTCACATTAAACCGACTGCTCTGTACATTATTTCAGTTTAATATCTTCATTTTATAGAGTAGTATTTATTTCATATGCCATATGCCTACTCGTTTATGAAGCAGTAGTACTTTTCCGTATAAAGGATTTAGGGTCCAGTGAAATCCGACATTGAACCAACGATAGACATATATTATCACGCGATATGCCACGGAGAGTCACGGGCCACCAAACTGTGGATGCCCGTGTCTGTAATAAAACACAAGATGAGATTGGATTAAATGGCCGAGGGTGTGCGGATACTAGTGGGCTACTAAGCTGCTAATTGTGTATACCATGGCCACCGCTACTGCTGTCTGGCTTCCACGGTAGCATATTTAAACGCTACCATTGTTTGGCAACTACCTTACTACCGAAAGCAGCTACCGCTGCTGGCCTAAGTCAGACTACCGCTGCCCGGCTCCAGGTAGCCGGCCAAAGCAGATACCACTGCCTGGTCCCATTAGTAAAATCATTGTCGCGACTACCGCCGCGGCCCCAACTGTCAGCTACCGCTTGACAAGACGACTTCCGCCGCCCGGCCCATATTCGTGGAAATTGGTTGCCCAACATAAGTTATTTGACGATTCCCTGGCTGAAAAGTCGGGAAAGACAAGGTTCCCACTGAGAAGCAGGTAACCCCAGAAAGGTTCCCACTGAAAAGCAGGTAGCCTTATGCACGAGTATTAATTTGGAAGCAAGTTAATTTGTTACCAGCAGTGTAGCCCACAAGGACCCCACACACCTCGACATAGTTTATTGTTGAGACAGTTATTCGCATATACACATATATACAGCTATGTAGAAGTCATGTTTATTTACATATATCAGAATTATTTAATAGGTAGCCATTTACATATAAACAAGCGCCCTGAAAACCTATTTTACATATGTACAGGTTTATTTACATTCATAAAATCTGCTCTGCTGGTACCTGTAATAGAAGAACGCCGAAGAAAAGAAGTGATTAGAATTCCAGGTGAGGAGGACACATACCGGATGAAAAGGAAAGAAAAGGAGTGGCGAGCTGGGCGGGTGGGTGGGAAAGCGATTAGATACAGCGAAACCTGTGTGTACTTAAAGAGAGACGGTGCGTGAATTGTGGACTATATGTAACAAAGTAGGGATGATGCTTGTGTAGGATTATTGCCCTGGTCACGGTGCAGGGCGCTGACCCGGGGGTGATTCAGTTACAAGGGGTGATTAGGTTACGGGCGTAATTAGCCAATACGCGCGATAAAGTCATTTTGTAGTGACTACTAAACGTAATTACTTGTGTCCAAGTTCTGTCAGCATCCTCGATGGTGTTACTGAATTCATCCCTGTATTTGTTTCAGGATTACCTCTCCACGGTGAGAACGAGATTTAATAAAGGACCCTATCTGTGACAACCCCTGATCATCATATCAGTAAACAACATGGGATGTTCTGAAATGACCGTGTCCTCGTTATCTACTGGTCAGATGCCCCCGTCCCTACCCCCAGCGACCCCTGCCTTGCCCCGGGCAGACTGTGTCTCTTTGTGTTTCCTCAGTGCATACTGTACCACAATGTTCTACAACAAGGAAACCAAGTCTTGTCATCTGATGGAAGGCTTCAAACAGACACAGCTGGTTGCCACCTCCGAGCCCATTGAACACCTGGTGTTGGGTAAAGGTAAGATTTGTGATCTTTCACCAAGAAAGTTGTTTTTCAAGGAAATGAAACTCGTGTATGGGGATCGTTCTAGCTAAAAAAAGTCCATGAAGACCTATGATATTTCGTGTGTGAAATGTTAATGTTTGGGACAAGGGTATCATACACAAACTTAACTCGTGTGGCATCAGTGGGAAATAATTAAAATGGTTCAAGAGTTGTTTAGAAAACAGAGTTCAGAAGGTAACTTATCACAGTTAGAGTTCTAATGAAAATCTAGTGATGGCTGGAGTCACACAAGGTTCAGTATTGTGGCCTCTATTGTTGCTTATTTATATACTGTAAATGATATTGCAGCAGGTATTGAGAGTAATAATATGTGGGGCGGTTCATGGTACTAGTCACTGCAATATATATGTCGAAACAAGCCCATTTCTGGTGTCCCCCGCCGTGATATTGCTGGAATATTGCTAAAAGCGGCGTTAAACCATACTCACTCATTCATTTATTGCAGCTCCTTGCCCAGTCAAGTCAGGTTATCTATACAGCCGGAGACTGAACATGTGTTACAAGAAGCACACCGACCTTAAAGAGTGGCCTGACGCCAAGACAGCATGCTCAGCAGTGGGGAGCTACCTCGTCATCATCAACAGCGCTGAACGGAACCAATTCATGTACGACATTGCGGCAGATATAGGTAGGTCATACGGAACATTCACAAAATTATTTGACTGATATGCATTACAGTTTGGATCTTTGTTAGATCAAGTATATGAGTGAGTGAGTGAATTTCCAAGTGAGTGAACGGCAACCAGGCAAAGGAATGACTGAACGCAAGAGCATTGACTGATATTAGGATAGAATAAAACAGAGTTCCCTATCAATTAAATGAAGTATAACAGGAGACCTGACCTTGCAATAACTTCTGTCGAGTTTCTGCAACTGGCAGTTGTAAGTGCTTTGTCAAAAACTAACATAAAAAAATGTTCATCAAACTCATTTCTATCACAGGGTCGTTTTGGACGAGCGGGAATATACTGGAATCATCATGGAGATGGGGAGACAACTCTTCAATTGTTGAGCCCACATTCTGGAGCCCCGGGGAACTCGATCAATTTGAAGCCCAAAAATGTCTGACCTTCTGGGACCCGAGCCTTCCCAACAGCTGGCACACCGCTCCATGCAGTTACCGTGTGCCCTTTGTCTGTGAACTAGCGATGTAGACAGTTGCTGACACACATTAAAGTGATCTACTATTTAATATTCTTGTGATATGTTTGGATTATCCCCCTGACTATGTAACTGGCATAATCGTAACTGTCTCGCTAAACAAAACTGAAGGAATGCTGTTGCGTCCTTCAGTGATGCTGGGATTCGCTGATCGTCTGTTCGAATCCCAAATTCGTCCTGACAATATTTGTCCTGATTTTGATCCTTACTGAGACAGAATCATACCCGTGGTTGGTTCAGAACAAGTCCCCAAACTTCACTTGATGAGCCCATATTCTGGAAGAACCGGACGTTGATAGTGCAGCCCAACAATGTCTGGCCTTCTGGGACCCGAGCCTCTCCAACAACTGAAAATTTAGTAACTGTTACAGACATATGAAGGGCCATGTCTAAGAAAAGGCTGTGTAGAAACCTTTGTGCTTCAGTAACATACGTGTGAGGCGTCATATATAGTTATACAGCAAATGGACGGGACCCCCAAACAGTTCGTTATATCCGTCTGTTCGGTATAAGCGTGTTCGTTATAAACGTAGTTTACTGTACTTCAATATATTTGTAATTTGCGAAAGCCATTATCTGTTGAAGAAAAGCACACGAGAGTTTAAAACCCCTCCTCTATTATCAGTCAATCAATACTCAACAACAAAAGTTCTTGTGACCAATATTTTAATGTATTTTTCAAACAAGTAAAGTTCGGTTTTCAATATTGTAGTACCTGTAGGTCAATTCCTACAGAAAAGCATGCATTCCATGCCAAAGTTGACTTTTTATGCAAGCCCCATGCATTTGACTACCCAAGAATGGGTATAAAAATATGTGCGTTAACGGGATTCCATATGCATTGTTTTGCATCGTGCTGACAACAACCACTCAGAAAAACAACAAAAATACGCAATTATTCAACATTACGAAATGCCACGCCTGTCCGAAAATGAGCGTCTGCGAGCCATTGGTATGCTTGAAGCAGGATCGAGTCAACGTGATGTTGCAAGACAATTAAACGTCCACAGAAACACCATTTGGTGTTTATTGCAACGTTGGCAACAGATGAATGCAGTCAGAGACCATCCTCGGAGTGGCAGGCCACGCGTAACCAATAATCGACAAGACAACTGGATTCGAACAACACACCTACGAAATCGATTCCAGCCAGCAACAGTGACTGCAAGAAGCATCCCTGGCCTTCGACGAATATCTTCACAAACCGTACGTCGTCGCCTCAGATGTGCAGGGATTATCGCCAGAAGACCCGCCAGACGTCCCATTTTGACAGGAAACCACCGTCAAGCACGTTTACAGTGGTGCAGACAGCGTCTACGCTGGACGGCCATGCAGTTGGGACAAGTTCTATTCACTAACGAGTCTCGTTTTCATCTTAGCCAAGGCGATGGGCGGATTCGAGTGTACCGACGTCGAGGTGAAAGTTACGTCAATCATTGTGTCATGGAAGAAGATCGGTTCGGGGGCGGCAGCGTTATGGTATGGGTGGGATAACAGCAAGACAGAGGACCCGTTTGATAGTGGTAGAGGGAAATCTCAATGGACAGCGCTACCGTGACGAGATCATCGGCCCTGTTGTTCTACTGTTTTTGCGTCGTCATGGCCCAGGCATTACCTTTCAACATGACAACGCCCGGCCTCATATTGCTCGACTTGTTCAGGATTCCCTTCAACAAAACAACGTGAATGTCATCCCCTGGCCGACTCGCTCCCCTGATCTCTCACCAATCGAGCACATGTGGGATGAGATAGTTGGCGCCTTCGACGTCAACCACGTGTTCCACAGACACTCTAGGAACTTCGAAACATGCTCCAGCAGATATGGACAGATATCCCACACCAGACGCCTGGTCCATTCCATGAGACGAAGATGTGTTGCTGGCATCGCAACCAGAGGTTGACACACACGCTATTGATTTGTAAATTGACATTTTAGCATGTTCCTTTTTTAAAAATATGAAATCACGCATTTTCTAAAGTCCGCATGGCAAATTAAACCAGTTGATCACTTACGGTAGTCTTTTATCTGTTGCAATCCGAAATTGTTTCAGATTTGGTAAAAAACATAACTTTGCATTAAATCTTATTCAATGTCACAGGAACTTTTGTTATTCAATATATAATCAGTTAACGTTATGTCTGATGGTCTTATTTTATATGTCTATATTGCCTATACCTTTAGTACGCATCATTGTGTTTGATCCAAAGGCCTTGGATACAATAAACTGAATTGAACTGAACTATCATTATTTTTGCAAGAAAGTACCTCCTTTTTTGTTAAAGGTATATTTGTAGTCGCCATTCGGCTTGTGGAGTTTCTACGAAATAACGAGCGTGTATAAGTGAACTGTATATTCCACAAATCACATGCCATGCCAGAGTAGTTTGGTTTTAATGCAAATTTAGGTAAAACAGTTTTTGCTTGGCATGATTACAAGACATTTTCATTTTAACCTTGGCGAGTAGTAACCCTGAAACGTCGTCACAAAGAATAAAGAAGTTGCTATTATATAATAAATCGCAGATACATAATCGTAGGACATCTGGATTGTACGATTCCGACTATATCATGACAATGTGTTTAAGAAACACTATAATACAGTAATGATAGCAGGTGTTCACAAACACAATGTCAATGTTTCACCTGAAAATACACGGGAGCAAGTCAAAATAGGGAATTGCATTGGACATATTTTCCCCTCTGATGCGTCAAATTGTCACGTGTTTACCATCCCACACTAAACATAGTGACTTGTCTCCTATTCCCACATTAATATTGTGACTTGTCTCCTATCGCCACACTAAACATTGTTACTTGTCCCCTATCCCCACACTAAACATTGTGACTTGTCTCCTATCCCCATACTAAACATTGTGACTTGTCTCCTATTCCCAGATTAATATTGTGACTTGTCTCCTATCCCCACACTAAACATTGTTACTTGTCTCTTATCCCCACACTAAACATTGTTACTTGTCTCCTATCCCCACACTAAACATTGTTACTTGTCTCCTATCCCCACACTAAACATTATGACTTGTCTCCCATCCACACTAAACATTGTTACTTGTCTCCCATCCCACACTAAACATTGTTACTTGTCTCCTATCCCCACACTTAACATTGTTACTTGTCTCCTATCCCCACACTTAACATGGTAACTTGGATCCTATCCCCACACTAAACATTGTGACTTGTCTCATATCCCCACACTTAACATTGTTACTTGTCTCCTATCCCCACACTAAACATTGTGACTTGTCTCCTATCCCCACACTAAGCATTGTGACTTGTCTCCTATCCCCACACTAAACATGGTGACTTGTCTCCTACCCAACACTAAACATTGTGACTTGTCTCTTATCCCCACACTAAACATTGTTACTTGTCTCCTATCCCCACACTAAACATTGTGACTTGTCTCCTATTCCCAGATTAATATTGTTACTTGTCTCCTATCCCCACACTAAACATTGTTACTTGTCTCTTATTCCCACACTAAACATGGTGACTTGTCTCCTATCCCCACACTAAACATTGTGACTTGTCTCCTCTCCCCACACTAAACGTTGTTACTTGTCCCCTATCCCCACACTAAACATTGTTACTTGTCTCCTATCCCCACACTAAACATTGTTACTTGTCTCCTACCCAACACTTAACATTGTTACTTGTCTCCTATCCCCACACTAAACATGGTGACTTGTCTCCTATCCACACTAAACATTGTTACTTGTCTCCTATCCCCGCACTTAACATTGTTACTTGTCTCCTATCCCACACTAAACATGGTGACTTGTATCCTATCCCCACACTCAACATTGTGACTTGTCTCCTATCCCCACACTAAACACTGTGACTTGTCTCCTATCCCCACACTAAACATTGTGACTAGTCTCCTATCCTCACACTAAACATTGTGACTTATCTCCTATCCCCATACTAAACATTGTGACTTGTCTCCTATCCCCACACTAAACATTGTGACTTGTCTCTTATCCCCACACTAAACATGGTGACTTGTCTCCTATCCCCACACTAAACATGGTGACTTGTCTCTTATCCCCACACTAAACATTGTGACTTGTCTCCTATCCCCACACTAAACATGGTGACTTGTCTCCTATCCCCACACTAAACATGGTGACTTGTCTCTTATCCCCACACTAAACATGGTGACTTGTCTGCTATCCCCACACTAAACATGGTGACTTGTCTCTTATCCCCACACTAAACATGGTGACTTGTCTCCTATCCCCACACTAAACATGGTGACTTGTCTCTTATCCCCACATTGTGACTTGTCTCCTATCCCCACACTAAATATTGTGATTTGTTTCCTATCCCCACACTAAACATTGTGACTTGTCTCCTATCCCCATACTTAACATTGTGACTTGTCCCCTATCCCCACACTAAACATTGTGACTTGTCTCTTATCCCCACACTAAACATGGTGACTTGTCTCCTATCCCCACACTAAACATTGTGACTTGTCTCTTATCCCCACACTAAACATGGTGACTTGTCTCCTATCCCAAAACTAAACATGGTGACTTGTCTCCTATCCCCACAGTAAACATTGTGATTTGTTTCCTATCCCCACACTAAACATTGTGACTTGTATCCTATCCCCACACTCAACATGGTGACTTGTATCCTATCCCCACACTCAACATTGTGACTTGTCTCCTATCCCCACACTAAACACTGTGACTTGTCTCCTATCCCCACACTAAACATTGTGACTAGTCTCCTATCCTCACACTAAACATTGTGACTTATCTCCTATCCCCATACTAAACATTGTGACTTGTCTCCTATCCCCACACTAAACATTGTGAATTGTCTCTTATCCCCACACTAAACATGGTGACTTGTCTCCTATCCCCACACTAAACATGGTGACTTGTCTCTTATCCCCACACTAAACATGGTGACTTGTCTCCTATCCCCACACTAAACATGGTGACTTGTCTCCTATCCCCACACTAAACATTGTGACTTGTCTCTTATCCCCACACTAAACATGGTGACTTGTCTCCTATCCCCACACTAAACATGGTGACTTGTCTCCTATCCCCACACTAAACATTGTGATTTGTTTCCTATCCCCACACTAAACATTGTGACTTGTCTCCTATCCCTACCTTACACACTATCACTTGTTTCCCATCCCTACCCTACACATTGTCAATTGTTTCCCATCCCTACCCTACACATTGTCAATTGTTTCCCATCCCTTGCGACAGTTCTGAAAAGATGTTTTTAAGAAACCTTTAGTTATTCATGTTTTCCTTTTATTTCATCTAATACGTCGATGGTAACTACAAACATACATGTATTACTTTACGATCGATGTGTCGCCATCCCCCGAGGATACATGTAAGTGCAACCCGTCGATAGTTTCAACAATCTTTACAACCCATTCAGCAGACAAATACTTGTCGTGAAATTCGATTAACGGAATCGGGTGGTTATTGTCGTTGGCGTGGTTCATGCTTGCCACCGTCTACCAAATGCGTAGATCGATGCTCATGATGTCAGTCACTGGTTTGTCTGGTCCATATTTGATGTTATAAGGACCGCCATCATATAGCTGGAATATTGCTGAGCGCGGCATTACAACAAACGAAAAAGAGAGACATAAAACACCATGCATGACAGATTCATAGGGAACAGTTGGTTTCGAGTCCCAGGTGCGGCATGCAGTATTGCTTTATCTTCAAACCGGGATACGTCCGCT